ACACACACACACACACACACACACACACACACACACACACACACACAGACACAGATCTGGGCCTGAGCAGGCCACCCATCACCAGCCATAGAACTATGAAAACGCTGTGGCTAGTTATCTGCACACACAAACGTGAAAACAATGTGCTAACTGATAAAGAGAAGGACAGTACTTTACGTATGACTAATTAAAATGAGATCCAAACTGACAGAGGAGGTGATGAAACTGTTACCAGCCGCTCATCCCACTGGCAGCAGGGATTTTGAAGCTGGGATCAGTGAGTTTGCTCTGACTTTTTATTTATGTCAGAGAACCTGGTTTGGCTGAACATTTGAACTGATGTTACAAACTATGGATGCTTTCCATGATCTCATCCTCATTTTTGCTTTCCTCATTTGATCTGTTATCAGATAGTCTAAAAAAACACATCACTGCTTAATTAAAACCCGTAAATGGAACGTCTGAGTCCTATAAGCGGATCCAGTGACATTTCAGTTGTAGCGTTTGTTTGCATCCTGAGCAGGCCGAGCATACTGTTTAGCTAATAAAGCCAAGGGAGGCCGGCCACTAAAAATAGAACCAATGAATGTCACAGACTCCGGGCCTGATTCAGAAGGAAGGAAGGACACAGATAATTTCATTTGGCCAAGTACTGTCCAGCGACAACACACAAGGTAAACAATAACACTGAGAAATGGCTGGCCAATTGAAGCAAAGCTTTGAAACTCGCCCCCCCCCCCCCCCCCCCCCCCCCCCCCCCCCTGTCACCTGAGACTCCCTCCCAGCCTTTGATGAACAGGAAAGCAGTCAGTGAAATTAATTAGCTGTACGAACAAAAGCGATCGCTCCATAAGCTTCAGATCTGGAAATGGTGAAACACACACACACACACACACACACACACACACACACACACACACACAAAAGATGGCTGGACACGCAAGGCAAATGGAGGAAGTATTAATTCCTTTCAGGGTGGAGAGCTGAGGGAGAGGTTGTTGTCTAAAATGAGAACCAGACAGCACATGGTCCCACAAGTATCCCCGAAATGGGTTTTTAGATTGCAGTGACCTCATAATCCGGCCCTTCTATACGTCTAAAAGAGCCCGTCCTTTATGTTGTAGACACGGTTGTATAATGAAGTGTCACATTCTATCAACCAGCGTCACAGACCAGATGTATTCTGAATAAGTGGCGTGCTCTTGAAATGCATTATCTGAAACGAGAAACCGAAAAAAAGCCTTTCTTTGAACCCTCACTATATGTCCACTATCTTCATTTCTGTGGGTGAACATCTTTTTCCTTAACACTGTGTTTGGGAAGTGGCATGAGCATCGACTATAAAGCCAAACCCTCATGATGCATCTGTCATGGTGTGAATGCAGTGCTTTCAAAAGCACATTTTCTGCCTTTTTTTCCCCCTATTTCATGTCCATAGATCCTTAAAATGCCCTCAAACGCAGATGCCTATCTCTTCAAAGGTGCATGGATGACAAGAATTCCTAGATTTCATTCAAGACTTCATAGAGCCGGGTTCGTGCGGCTATTACATCGGCTGGTCTTTTTTTTAGAAATGGAATCGCTGGGATTTTTGCCCATTTTCTGGAGGCCCGGCGGCTCCAGCCCATCCAGGCTGAACACGTTCTGCTGGTGTGTGGCGGTCCGTCAGCCATTCCACACACACTCTGGTGAGGATTGAAGTCAGAGGCTGCTCTGAGGGCGTTTAGGTTCATTCTGATGCTGAAATGTAACACCGTCTTTATCTCAGTTCTGCAGAATCATTCCCTCTCATCTCGGTTTTGAGGGATCAGGTGGTGTGAAGCATAGCCTCCACAAAGCATCCCGCTTTAATCAGCATGTCTAAATGGCGTGAGAACATCTTTTTGGTTTGTTTTTGAAAAGCATATAAAAGTGTCAGTTCGATAAAACAGCTAATGGAATAAAGCTTCTTGAGGTTGGGTTGATATTTCAACTCGACTCAAATGAAGTGAGATGCTCTGCCTATATGATGAGTTGTCCATCATTTTAGAGTTTTATTTTTTGTAAAAACAAATAAATTAGAATGTATCTTAATACACCTGAATTCGCAACAAAGCTGCCCTTATTCACACGTTTTTATTTCCTTAATCAGAAGGCTGAAAGAAATGAAATCGTGGATATAAAATGGATATGAAATGAGCCATCTGAAACTAAAGGTCAACTCATGGCTGTGCTCTAACAAAACTCCATCATTTAAAATCACCATCTAAACGTCTTAAAGTCTGCGCAGACTCTAATCACATGTACGGAAATGTATTTTTTTTGTTTCTTCCCATGTGGGAAATTGCACTCTCATGAGTGTATACTTCGATTCAATGTTTTCAGTCTCTTCTTAGGCAGTTTCAGAATTAAAATAATTGCCTACGTCACAAAGGCACGTGTGAATTCTTGCCTAAGTTATTTCATTTTCTTATGGTCCATGCTTGACAGACCTTGTTGTTTTTTTGTCAATAACCATCTGTAATAACCAAGGTGTAACTGTTTTGATTAAAATTGTTGGCAAATATAATATAAATCAACAAATGGTTAGTTTTTTTTTTTATTCCTGAAAAATCTTTTGTTATTTAAGAGATCGTTTTAAGGTGTTTAAAGACCCTATGGGGCTTCCTCGTCTTCCTTTTTCTGACACACAGGGATTTTTTTCCTGTCAACTATCCCACAAAGTCCAGTTTTTTGCTCTTTCTGGCTGGAAGTGATGCCACAGACACACGGAGCATCTTCACAGCTCCTTCCAGGATACTTTGGTCTCTTTGTTTCCTCTTATTAATCCTCTTTTTTTCTTGCCCTGTGAGTTGGGAGTGGGGTTGTCATTTCTTGGCAGCTTTGCCACGCTCTTTCCATTCCCAAACACTGTACTTTTGTTTGCCCCCTTGTCACGTTCAGCACCATACCCAGTAGAACGCTTCTCCCACTGCCATCGTTATGCCAAACAAATTAGGATTTTCAAGAGGATTTACACTCTATAAGCCTCCTTTGCTGGCCAGCCCTTGGGGACTTGTTTATTGCTGATATGTCATCTGTAATCTGATCTTAATGATACTCTGGGGGATAATCGGAGTTGTTGACATTGTTTTCCATCTCGCAACCACAGAGCCTTTCACATGCAGTTTACTGTACATAAACTGGGATCCTGTCACAGTTTGAACCGACCTATGAAACGAACAATGTGATTTCTCAAGTTGATATTCGGCTCAATATCAAAATGAATTTCTTAGCCCAGGGCTGTAAGACTTTTCTTTCATTATTGTCTTTAGGAACTTTTTTTTCAACTTTGTACTTAGCTAACATAAAATATGAATGATATGCAACCTAACACATGCTCCTTTCTCTTTTATTTGCTGCTTTTATTGTAAGTTGCCCTGCTACTGGGCTGGGCTGGGCTTGATGCTGATGCTTTTTTTCATTGAGTACAGCAGAAAACAGAACGCACGCACACTAACGCAGACAACCAGGCGTGACAGGATAACAAAGACCGTCTAAAAATACCCCGGCGTAATGTACAAATAAGTTAAAAATAAAACGCGGGCATGTGCCCAGACTCATGTACGTCTTCACGGGAAGACACAGATTGGAAATCCAGTGAATGACTGCAGGCAGAGGTGATTACATAACTCCGGAATGGAAACACATTCTTACATCATATTTCTCATGTGGCATTCCTCAGCAGACTCACTGAGTTGACTCTACCACACACACACACACACACACACGCACACACACACACACACACACACACACACACACGCACACACACACACACACTAGCTGTCAGACAGTAATGGATGTAGATGCCGGTAGACTTGCTTACTTCTAGCTCCCTCAGTTGTTCTTTCTGGCTCTCACTGAGGTACACACACACAATTATAGACTGGACATCAGGGTGAGACTTGTAGATAAGGCAAAGGCTAGAAACCGGGTGGCTTTGTGCCCCGGGAAGAGGACCCAACAACAACAAAGTCTTGTCTTTAGTCAAGATAACTGTAGTCAAGCTTTATTGGTTAAGCTGAGGTATTGTTGCAGTGTTTCTTTTAAAGATTGAGTTGTTTTGTGGGGTTTATAGTTATAATTCAGTCAAATTTACACACGTAAATATATATATATATATATATATATATGTATAAAGTCAGTGACAATGACATTTTTAAATGTATTTATTTATTATTAATTCATTTATTATTTTGATTTTTAATTATAATGACAAACTCACCGATCCCAACTTCAAAATGACTAAAGCATTGAGCTAAACTGTTTTGTCTTTTACATTTTTTTGTCATTCAAATTTTTTAATTGTTCTGCAGCTTTCATCAGTCTGAGCTTCCTCAGTCATCTGGAAACCAGAAAATTCATTTAAACTGTGTGAAAAAACACCATGATGATTATTCATCCCTCATGAACAGAATCCTTTACTTATCAGTTTTGATATTTATGTATCACTTTCAGCCAACCATTCAGTTTCGTTGTAAGCTGTGATTTAATTTAAGCCTTTTTGGGTTATGACCCACTTTTTTTCCCAACTGGTTCCTTGTAATTTTGAAATAATCATTACCCCTTTTTTTATTTTTTTTGGGTTGGTCATTATCCCGGTGATGGACTAGGGATGGTCCAGGTTAATCCTGCCTCTCGCCCTATTGTTTGGAATTTTCTGACATCAAGATTTTGACATCTGTCTTGGTCGGCCAGCATGTTTCCCTTTTACAGTCTTTCCATTTGGTCTGAATTTCTTACAATTTTAGACACAGGTAACTAACCAACTTTTTTTTACATCTTGAAAGCTTTCTGCAATGATTTCATTCCCCACCGTTTCCACTGGCAACTGTTGGGTTAAAACTTCCTGCAAATCATCCTGGTACTAAAGCAAAGGAAGCACTAAAAGCCCCCTGCAAGCCTGCAGGCTCCTTCTTTAACTGCATTTGTTTGCATATTGACACTTGCAGGTATTTGTAACAGAAACACAAACGTATAACCAATCTTTTTCCCTCTGCTGCATCTGGAAAAAGTGCAGCAAACATTCTGGATTGGATTCAATTTCATTGTTTCATTGTGGGGTTGCATGTAACTTTTCTGTATTTGCTTGAGCAATGCGAAACTGACTGCTGTCCAAAAACTTTGCTATCACTTACTGATTAGTTTTGTGAATGCAAAACTATTAGACTACACTATTAGAAAGAGATGGGAAAGCTGAAGAGAGATGTATTTCCTGTGTGCGTGAGGATATCACTGGGCAGACGGAATGAAATCTGTGGTGAAACGGCAACAGGTTTCCTAACTATTTTGTCGCCCTAATCAGAAACAGAAAGGGAACAATCTGGAATTTATTCATTGACAGACGTCTCAGGCCTCAGCCGAGGTTTCCGATTAGATTAGGTTTCTTCAGAGAGCATGCTGGGAGCTCACCGCCAAGCTCGCCTTCGGAGCTCTTTCACTGCACACTGTTTACCATCTCAAGATGTTTACAGTCTGTCATTAGTCCCGCTGATGTTTATCTATTCATCTCTACTGGCTGCGGGAGACAGCATATGCTTTCATCAACGTCTTGGCCCATTTTCAGGCCCTTACTTCGCTTCCCTTCAAAGACAAACGAGTGATCTGAAAATCTCATGCTGATTTTCAATCCACAACCACTAAGAAACTGAATATGAGAGGTAAACACGAGCCCCAAAAAGTTTTCTGGGTCCCCGAATTATACTGACAGCCTGAATAAAACAATATTGCAGCACAATTTTGGCCTTAAACTGGCACAGGCTCTTTGTGCCAGCAGTTTGATGCCTGCTGTGATTTGTTACTTACATCAAAGGCTTTTCCAAGCGGCTTCCCAGGGATCCAACTATTTCGCCCAGTGTACAGAAAGACTGGCCCAGGAAATCCTGCATGGACAAACAGAAAAAAACACACTAAAATCATTACACATGAAAGAAATAGTTAACAAAGGGTTCCAAATTCATCAAGTTTAAGTGATTGTCAATGGTAACATTCCATGAAATTTAGCTGATTTGATTCTGCTGTCTCCAGGTTACAAACATTTCTAAGAACCATTTATACAACTGCTGGGTTATTTAACAATTAACTGGAGAAAATTAATTAACTCACATTTGACTTGATAAGATACTGTTCAAGTATGAAAAAAAAACTAAAAAAGCAACATCAGAAAAAAAGGAAACATTATATTTCAACTTTAAGGTTCAAAACAAGGACAAAACATCATCTAGCTGTGAATAGACCTTGAACTTTAAGGTACTACAAAATAAATGCAATCCTAAAACTGATCATCAGTAAGAGGGAGCTCCCTTTATAAAGAAGTGGCTAGAGGAAGAACTCAAACAGATTCCAAAGTGACCTGATCTCTCAAAACAAGCTTCCCATAAAGGACTCAGTAGGGGCTTTACCACCTCGAACTCCTCAAGAAGATCCAACTGACCCAAAATCCGTCTGTGGCCTTTTACCCCTGCTCCTTGTGCTCACACACACACACATTTAAACATTATTAACTATCTTCTCCCAAGACTAGAATAACTTTAATCTTCCTGTTGCCTTTTAGACGCCAAATATATATACCCAAAAAGCCATCATACCAAAGTCACTGTCTGTCTGAGCTTTAGCAATCAAGCAGAGGATACAGGAGAATGGAAACAGGAACAAACCAGCTCTATTTATTGGCCCTGATGCTCTGTGAATTATGAATAATGCACTATGGTTGTTGTTTCCTACGACTTTTTTCTTGCAATATCATGTGAAAGGAAAGAAATGTAAAAAATGAGTGTATCATCAAACATGGGAACAAATAGCTTAATAATATGGTGTTTTTTTGTATACAATTGAGGGCTTTTTTAACAATTATCTATTAAATTCAACTCAATTATATTTATATAGTTCCAAAAACAGCAAATGCAATCTCCAGGCCATTCAAAGATATGATCCCTTCATACAGACCCAATTAAAAATAACTTCCTACCTTAGGAAACCATCAGATTGACCTGAATTTTCCATTTATTTCTATTCATATCTTTACTTTCCAAAATTACACTTTAAAAGGATACGCTTCAATTGTTCTGCTTGTTGTATTGACAATAAAGCATCTGTGCATGTATCTTTCCATTCACCTGACAGTTAAAGCTTGGTCAAGATTGGTTCCTGTAACAGGATGATACCAATCTTTAAATAAAAGGCTTCATTTTTTTTGTTCTTTTTTACAAGAAGTTTTGTTAAAGGTGGTTCCACAATCTAATAAATCACAGGATGCATTTAGTTTTTCACAGGCTGCCTCACTTTTTGTTGTTCAATAAATAACTGGCTGGTGTAATATTTGATGCACTGTGGCTCGTCTGAAATCGCACTTAACATTAAGACTTATTCAAAAGCAGATGTTTTTAAAAAAGGATCAATTGTATTGTGTAAATAAATAAATTGTATGTTAAACCACATAAATTACAGCGAGTTTGCTTTCTTTTTCCTATTTCCTAATGGGGTCACGGGGGAACTGGAGCCTATCCCAGTAGCCAAAGGGGAGAGGCGGGGTCACCCTGGACGGTCCCCAGTCCATCACAGGGACACACAGAGACACACAAGGACCAACAACCACACACACTCACATTAAGGGCAGTTTGGAGTCCAACCAACCTAACATGCAGGTTTTTGGAGGGTGGGAGGAAGCCGGAGAACCCGGAGAGAACCCACAGACACAGGAGAACATGCAGAACCACCCAGAAAGGTCCTGGTTCCCCCGGGACTCCAACCCAGAACCCTCTGGTCCTGGTTCCCCCAGGACTCCAACCCAGGACCCTCTGGTCCTGGTTCCCCCGGGACTCCAACCCAGAACCCTCTGGTCCTGGTTCCCCCGGGGACTCCAACCCAGAACCCTCTGGTCCTGGTTCCCCCGGGGACTCCAACCAGAACTCTCTGGCAGAAAGATCCTGGTTCCCCTGACTCTATCATGTCATGGTTTATTATTGTCTTTATCACTCAGGCTTTACGAGGTGGAGGCAGTTTTGTGATTTGTTTTTGAGCCTCAGTGATCGGAGAAACCCCCCCAATAAGACATTTAAGCCTTATTTGTATGTACAACAGGGCTAGCTATAGACAAGACACAAAGTTATTTACATAATGTGAGATTTTAATAGCAGAAATTAAGAAAAATATGTAAAACAGGTTAAAATCAATAATTAAATAAAGTAAATGCAGCTAAGATACCTTCCTTTCTCAAATGCACAGCTAAATTGAACTGTTTTCAGCCTAGATTTACTAAACGCATTATTCTCAGGTTGTAACATATAAAGTGCGAAAGGAACAAACCCTCCAAACACTTTGATGTACAGTACAGTAACACTATTGGACTGCTCAACCTGCACTTACAGCTCAGTATCTACACAGATCCTGTTCAGAGCTCTAGACCACGAGCCAGTAGTCAGCGAGAATGGAGGATGTATAAAAATCCTGGCCCAAGTGTTCAAACACTGATACTAAGGACACCCCTACCAGATAGTGTATTCGTGTGTGTGCGCGTGTGTGTGTGTGTGTGTGTAAAGATATGCTTGACAGATGAGCCGTGTTGAGTCCGACAGGCAGAAAGCTGCTTCAGAGATCTTTGCCGGTGCTGAGTGAATCTCTCCAGCAGCTGAGGTCTCGCCACACAGAGATATGAAGAAAACTCTGAGGCTTTTCCGTAAGAAGTGTGCTGCCAGCAGGTGCAGCAAGGAGACCAAAGGGACCAAACGAAAAAAAGCGATCCACTGAAAACCAAGAGACTGGACTAAAAAGAAACCCACGACTGGCTTTTATGGCCAGAGGGAACTGAGAGAGAAAAGCAGAAATAAAGATGGACGCAGAATTAGATTAGTTGTTGCTACCGGCAACCGATAGTTGATTAGCTGAAATTCTAAATTTAGCTTCATGCTTGGTTTGCTCAGCCCTGTTGATGGAATTGCTAACGTCCAGGTTTATGATCTTTGAAATTGAAGAAATTTCTCCTTCTGCTCTGCTTTGGTTGTGTGCGATAAAGGAATATGCGGCAATCAAAGTTTTGAGATAGTTTTGCGTCTTGGCTGATGTACAAAAACAGCCTTCAAACGGCTCATCTCTAACGTCAAAGACTGAAACATAAAGAATAACTTTAAGATTATTATTAACTTCAACTTTGGTCCACTTCCAGACTTCGTCAACATAACGAAGGTACCAGGAACCTTCTCACCATCATGCAAAAGTGGAAAACACCAAACCAGAATGCAACTCTCCAAAAATCTCTGATTTTTTTCAAACTTAGAAACACACCTTCTATCTTATTCAAATTTTGCAGATTTCACACAGTTCTCAGCCCTTCTAAAAAGGTTTACCGGTATCTCACAATACACGGCACAATACTATATACAGTGGGGGAAATAAGTATTTGAGCCCTTGCTGATTTTGCAGGTTTGCCCACTTACAAAGAATGCAACGATCTACTATTTTAATCATATGTACATTTTAACAGTGAAAGACAGAATCCCAAAGAAAATTCCAGCAAATCACATCATATGAATTTATAAAAATTGATAACCATCTGATGAGGAAAAATAAGCATTCTTTGTAAGTGGGCAAACCTGCAAAATCAGCAAGGGCTCAAATACTTATTTCCCACACTGTATGTGCATTGTTCATTTTGCTGCACATTTATTGTTTAACATGTTCAGCATAAATGTGGTTCAGCTTTTGGCTTAGCTTTTTAGAAAAATGTAAATATATTATGAAGATTTATTCTCTTCACTGCTTGGTTCAGCTCTACTAAGGAAGGTAAAATAGACTGTTTATATTTCTTTTCTTTTTAGATGTTGGGAGTTCTCTGCCTTTGTATTTGCCACAGTGTACTGTGTTTAAGTCCAGTAATCCACATTTTTCATGCTTTAAAGTGCTCGTGCAGCACATAGCTTTGCAGGTTTACATTGCTGAATTTTGAAATTAATGCGCTCGGGGCTACACGGTGCAGTTGTAACTAATTTTGTCTGAAAGGGCCAGGAGAAAAAAAATGTTCTGTGACTAGAAGCTTTCTCTCACAGAGGATATCTCAAATATTAGAACTAAAAATCATGCCATCAAATCCCATTAATTTCATTAGCAGAGCAGTTTCTTGTAACCAACTGTCTGCTGACTGACAATGTAACACATACTCAACATCAGAAATAGATAAATATCTGAAATAAAGCAGATTTATGCTGAATTCTGTTAATAAAAAACTAAATATACGAGCACACAGAGAAAGGCAGAACAAACAGATGCTAATGTAAACCACATTAGTTGCAACAGCTCAGACCACAAATTGTGATTTCCCCATTCTTGAGGGGACATTGCCATGCAAACTAAAAGTAATCCACTGGGACATCAGTTCCTCAGATGGCATGAGTGTATGTTGTAGCCAACAACAGAGCATTTGGCATGCTTCGTTGGAGCCTGAGGGACTTTACAGTTAGCAGACATGGCTTCAGTAAAGAACTACTGGTGGACAGTGGCAGCTGCTCCTTTTAACTAGCTTTGTCTGAGGGCGTGCCAAGCTAGCATATAAGAGGAGGGGGGCCAAACAGTTATAGGGCGATGGGGGAAAAGAAATAGATGAAAGATTGAACTACAAACAAGACATTTCAGGCAGTTGGGGAGCCGTGTTTTCTGTGGGCGAGGATAAATCTAGTTGACAGTGCATTCTGGGACAGAAATTACACAGAGCTGTCTCTCAGGGGATAAAAGAAATTAAGAGGAATGATGAGTCGCTTTTAAATTTTATCAGATGGAACAAAACGCATGTGCATCAAAAATCCTCACACTGTATATATATATACAGTGGGGGAAATAAGTATTTGACCCCTTGCTGATTTTGCAGGTTTGCCCACTTACAAAGAATGCAATGATCTATAACTTTAATCATATGTACATTCTAACAGTGAAAGACAGAATCCCAAAGAAAATTCCAGAAAATCACATAATATGAATTTATAAAAAGTGATAACCATCTGATGAGGAAAAATAAGCATTCTTTGTAAGTGGGCAAACCTGCAAAATGAGCAAGGGCTCAAATACTTATTTCCCCCACTGTATATATATAAATGAATTACAATGGAAAGGCTCTGTCAATTGTCTATCATTATGAAAAAAACATCAACTAATTATATTTTAATCTATGTCCCATGTCTTTCCCTCTCTTCTTTCCCCGCAGTTCTAACAGCAGAAGGTATGTATGCCGACCATGTGGAGCTGATAGCAGCTGCGGGATGGACGGAGAAGGCTTCTTTAAAGGTTGCCACAGATGTTGCCACGGGAAATACTGTACTCGTGTGCATTCGCATCCCCCTCCCCTATTTGTTTCTGTTGTTCGCAGTCGCGTCACTGAGGATGGACCGTGCCTGGACAATGGAGCCATTGCTGAGTGCCAGATCTCCAAACCCACACATCCACAATGAGGACAGGATGCAGCCAAGCATCCCCGGCCTTCATGCTTAAGAGTGAGCTCCTGCGCTCACATCACTCAGCACTCACACTGGAGGCCCGCGGGCACACTGAGGTTGGGGCTGAGAAGATTTAAAAAAAAAAAGAACTCCCCAAGCAACTGGCAGTGGGAATGAGGCAGGGTGAGAGGATGGCTGGAGATGGGTAGGCAGACATAACTGGAGCAGAAAACTGCTGAAACTCCTCTTTGAACTGAAGGGAAAGGCCAGTAAAAATCCTAAGTTATACGTTTTTGGTCAAGAAAAGTGCATGTCTAGTTTACTGTCACAGTGCAAGTCCACGTGTGCATACTAAAAAGTGAATTATTGTTGACACTAGCTATTCATCTACAGATTTAGAGCTCACGACAGTCTTCACTACCTCCATTAAAATCAAAGTCAAGTCCAATGTGTGTGAACAGGTCTTAAAACTAGCTTTAGGGTTATTGTTCTCAACTCCACAAATAACAAGTCAGGTGTCTTTACAATCAGAATTCCCTGAATCTTCAACAGGAAAAACTTTTATCCTAAAAACTAAAGAACTTACTATCTCTGTCATTGCTACAAAAAATGTGGAGGCAGTTAAAAAGAAAACAAAATAAGCAAATGAGATAGCAAACAGATAAGTTCATATCCTGCATTTCTATTTGAATAATGCCCTTTCTGCATCTACCAACGAGGAGCTTCATGATTTGACTCTGGGCTCCTCTAGGCTATATGTTGAAGCATCCTCGGGCAAGATTGAAGCCTAAATTATCTATCAGATAGGTACAGTCTGTTCTGTTCGAAAGCCTGACATAAACACGTTGTTAAGATATAGCGTCAAGGGGAGTTAAGTACCTTGAATTCAGATGTTCAGACCTAAGGTTACCCAAAATGGAGGACAAGCTATCTAGAATCACGGTAACAACTGTAAGGACGAGACAGTGTAATGCTAACATTAAAACCTAAAGGAAGCCCTAATATGAGTCGGTGTGAATATTGAATAAGAGGAGTTAGACATTTTTCTCAGATATTCGAAGTTGAGGCCTCTCCAGATCTGATTCATCAATCTGTACTTCTGCTCTGGACCTGGCAGATGATAAAACCCTCCTTTGTTCCACCAAGTCTGTGTCAGCAGTCTGTTCCTGCAGCACCTGCACCTGAGCTATTTAAAGACCACCATCTCCATATTACACCACAAACCGATTGTGGCCAGTAATGTAAAAGCCTTTGAGTTACCAACTGGACGCTACCTAGCAAAGCACTATATAGATACAGTCAATGTGCCATTTAAGCATTTAAGGTCGTTTTTACTATGTGGACTGCACTAAATCAGGCATTTTTAATAATGGTTAGGGCACTGTGCAAGCATAACAATTTGCTACCTTAATCATAATTTTTTAAAAGATAATCTGACCTTAACGCAGAGTTTAGCCTCCTACTTATATTATGTACCGTCAAAATGCAGATGTAAAGCTGTCGGACACCCAGAGTCAACAAAAACCTACATCAAATAAAGAAAGATGAAACAAAGACAAAAGGTAATCAACTACTTCCAAATACCATTTTACTTTTATCACTCGCCTGCTTTCAGATGAAAACACATGAGCTAAATGATCTATCAAAATCAGCTTTTATCCAACTTGTTTCACTCTGCTTAATATGATTTTCCTTTGAAGCTTCACACTGCAGTAAACAGGAGGAGCTGATATAAAACCAGGAGATCTAAAGGTACATTATGCATCACTACCATCTATCATTTAAATGTGCTTTTATAGCACAAATATGAATTTCCAAAAACAATCAAGAGGCATGTAAACTTCTATTCAGTCTCCAAATTGACTGTAGATCAAACGTCAGTGTCAATATAAATAGAAAATATGACTGCTTCTTCTATACAAATGTATGATTTCAATGTTAGCTGTTAATGCTAAAACTCCAGATCAACGGGTTTCATTCAGATTTCAAATCAGGTAAACAAACAAGGTTATTTTGGGGTGTGAATGAGAAAGCAGAATCTTATTTTTTGTAAACAACATTACAATAAAGCACCCATTTCCAGTTTACTCCAGTTATAAATCACATGCTACCCATATAAAATCAAAGAATATGGAAACATTTTATGATACACACACATAATCAAAGCACAACAAAACAACTTAATATTGTTGAGTGAGCTGCTGTTGAAATGGGTTTGATTATTTGTAGCTGATACAAGGAAAATTGACTTGACAGTGACTTTTTCAGCAAGCATAAGGATCTTTATCAAAACAAAAACAGCACAAATCACAAAAAGGTTTATTTTTTACAAAAATCATCTCTAAATCTACTGAGAAACAAATGTCAGGGAGTGTAAGGCCACTGCTGTGTTTCTTGACATTAGCTTAAGAAATTAAGAGGCTCTATGAAGAGACTGTTTTTCCCCCCATTAAACCTGTACCAAACAATCCTAGAACGAGGAATGAGTCCAATGAGAAAGAAAAAGAACCTTTAAAATATTCACTTGTGGAAAGTTACCAGAGAGAAATTAAGAAAGTGATTCTACATATATTGAATTCCCTAACACTAGCAAAAACCTTTTCTGCCAGTTCTTTGCTCAACTAAGCCAGAGCAAGGAAAAACTCCCAGGGTTAAGGAGACCAACTCAAATGTTGGAACTGACGTGCTTCAAACAAAACATTTGTGAGAATCATAATCAGAAATATAAGTGATAATCCATTGTTTTTGTAAAGATAAACTTTCCCTGTGTGGTGATGCTCAGAGGAAGGGTTATACATACATATGATTATACAAAATGGCTAAGGCTCTGTAAAAATAAATAAATCGGGAACTAAATACAGACAATTTGTTTTTACTTTTTATTCAAAACCAGATGGAAGATGCTGCCCTCTTGATGTATTTGGAATGACTTTGAAAATATGCTCGTGAGAGTTTAAATGCCATTACGGATACCATCTTTTTGTTATCCAAACATTAGAATTCCTATCGAGCTCCCTCCATACTGGACAGGTCAGTGTAGTTGTGTGAGTGTTAAAGAGCTGAAGGGAAGGAGACACTCACGTGCTTGGAGAGGTTGTCGCTCTTGCAGTCTAAATCATACCTGAAAAGATGAGGAAATGATGAGAGATGAGAACAGAGGAAATATCATCAACATTCCAGCAGCAGATTGGGACGGATAAGCTACCACAACACAAGTTAGTAATCCAGGAAACAGGCTATTCTCCCTCACAAATCAGCATCGATGCATGTCGTGTCTACAATTAAAGGTTTGTTTGTTTTTTTAATCTGATTTTGTACATTTCAATAAGACATTATCAGAGGTTTTGACCATCTTAACATTTTGCCTGTCAAATGCAGGTTTTAGTAGCCATTATGTTTGACTCAAACGTTTGGTGACGGTTCTAGGTGACAGAACACTGGCAGCTATTCCGAACCATTGTTCACGAGCAGGACACTGACCGATCGGAGGAATGGCCGTTAGGATGCAGGCATCCCATCAGCAGGTTCACGTCCTCACACACACTCACGAGCTGATATGATCAAATGAACGCGATCACAAATACAAGTGTGTGAAATCAGCCTCCTCTGAGGGCTGGCTGAGCTCACCCTTTGGAACAGGGTAAGGAACCCTTTCCTCCGGGAGTGTTTCAGATAAAGTCGCCAGCCCTCTTTTGCTCCTTTGGGCTCCCCATGGTAGGTGTTTTGGAGATGCCCAACAGGAGAGATATCTGGAGGCAGACCAGGACCTTCCAGAGAGATTATATCTGTTATCTGACCAGGCAAATCCTCCAGAGGAGCTGAGGGGGGCCGTTGGATACATGGAGGTCTACAAATCTCTACTATACTGAGCTCCAGTCCAAGAGAACCATTAGAAAATAGGATAGATGGATAACTATTCACAGTGTGTAATGTTGAAGTGTAAGTAACACCATCTTTTTTTGTGGTAAACTTCTTATTCTTATTGAACTGAGTTGTACAACCAGTGCTCTATGATTTCTAATCAGACTGATGAATTTTCATAGGTGTTCGTAGCTCACACTGTGCAATCACATATTTATTTGCAAATGCAAAAGCTATTTAGATAGACTATTTAAATGTAAAAGCTTTGCTCTTGACCTAAATGAGGGTTTTCTCCACTGGTAAAAGAGCAGTATTTGCTTCATCAAGTATCTTTTCTTGACTCCAGGGTGTATTCTCCTGGTGACTGCTAGCAGTAGCACCTGTCAGAATACATGATGATCTGCAAGGTGTGCATGACAGACAAGAACATGGACATCTATTTGTAACACAGCCCGCCTTGACTTGTGCATGCAATCTGTGAAAAAGTAAAGGCATGTTGTTGTTTGGGAGAGCAGAAACCTGAAATGTAGATCTTTGGAAAAACCATCACAAAGAAGCTGTTCTCACCCACCATAAGGAAATTAAGTAATTTTGATTCCCCAAAGGTCAACAGATACAAAGGGAAACACGCTAAGGTTGAAAAATCATTTATAATTTTAACTTTCCGGGACGTTCTGCAGATTGTATTTCCTTCCAATTTCAATAAAACTTTGGACATTAGTGCATCCCGTTGCCATTTATACGCCTCGATTATCCTTCTTACATGTCACATAACATGATTCATAATTCCACCTGGATTCTGAGAAAGAAACAACTGGCATGATAACAGCCCAATCTAATTCAGTCTGCAGCCCAATATTTGGCTAGTTTTGCTATCACACTTTCCCTGATGGTCTTGATCAAATTTTCTCAAATTTTTCTAAATTAATCTTTATTTTTTGTAAAATGGGTTGGAAATTTAACAGTTTAATAGGAGTGCTGAGTACATAAATCCCTAGGAAAATCCTTTTAAAAACAAAAACAAAAGTGTTGAATGGCTTATATCTATTAACAGAACCAATACATCAGCTGCATAAAGCAATAAAGTTTGAAACCCACAGTTTGACAGAGCTGCAAACAAAACTGACATTGCTAAAGCCTTTTCTGCATCAGCAACCATTGGATTGACCTCTTCTCTTGTCAGGATCATTTGATGCAATCATTTCCTCATTCCGTCTGTGATATAGTTTTCAGAAATACAACTTGATCCGAGTAAGCGGTAGCTTGTGGATTGTAGCTTGTGGTTGTGAGGATCCTGGTTAGAAAATCTTACAGTCTACGTGAAGCACGTTTAAGGGTAAATCATTAGATAGCTGCGGTTGCCATGACTAATCTAAAGGTTTCGTCAAAGGTGGGGGGGGCTGTGGAAGTTTCATTACATACCTTTTTTTAACACTGGTGCCAAAATAACCTAGAAAATGGATAAATAGATAGAGGTTTCCTGGAGTTCAAACTATAGTATGCAAATCATTTTTTAATTATGATTCTGCTGGTTCTTTTTCCAGTATCCTTTATGTAATCTTCCACTTTTTTATGCATACAATATGATTATTCTATCAAAAGATTTTGTAATTTATTTTATACATATCAATTTATAATAGGTGCTGAAGTTCAGTCCAACCTTGAAATGAAGTTCGACTACAGAATTCTGGCAAAAACTTGCTTTGTCTAAGCAATAAAAACGTCTTTTTTGTAATCATGTGAAAAATAAAAAATCAATTTAAAAATAATCTCAAAAGACCTAGCTACGCTACTAGAAACATGACGTGGGTATTGATCTTATCATCTCTAGCATCTCACAAAGGCTTTCATTTGTATAGGACAATTGCTACATACTTTAGATGGCAGTGCGCAGCCGAGATGAATTATATACGTATAACTGCACTAAAAAATGTGGATTACTCAAATACCCTGATATAAATTGCTGGAAAAAACATTTTTAAAAGAGACCGATATTGGTCTTTTTGGGATCATTTTCCTTCCATTACCTCCTCTAAGACCTGAGTATTCAGTTCCCAGCATTGATGTGGAGTGTGTGAACGATCTATAAATTCTGTTTTTATTGCTAGCCATATGCACAACAACCCATTGATAAATCCCTCTTTTAAAACCACCATAAATTCTATAAAACATCCCTTTAGAAATCCCACAAAAATGGATCTCATTGGTCCATAGAGTAATGGCCAGAGAGGGAGGCAAAAGAGGAGGCAGAAAGTCTCTTCACGCTGAGGTGGAAGCCCACCGAACGGAGCTGTTTAATTCCTCGCCTCCATCAAGTCAAGTTAGCACTTATTTACAGTGTGCAGCGCACGTCACGCCCCAGGCAACACGATGTGCTTCACACGAATGAAAACAAAAGAACATTTAGAGCACACTAATAAAATGGCAAATTCACAAGAAAGTCATTCAACGGTACACACAAACACACACACATATACAACAAATGAAAAAATAGTGCTGTTATTCTTACTGGAGGGGACTATATTAGAAACAAGAAAGGGGAAAAAAGAGTGTATACTATAGGGAGCATGTCACATGTCAGCAACTGGTGTGCACCGGCCACCTTTGGAACACACACACACACACACACAGAGAGAATAATGGCAGACACAGCTCTGCCCCGTTTGACTTCTGCTGAGTGGATGTGTTTTGGATCCGGGCGGGCGATAGCATCCCAAACGGAGGGCGTTATCCAGCCCAGCGAGGGCTGGGAGACGCCCGGTCTGCCTTGCCGCTCGTCCTGGACAGTGCAGGTGGCCAGAAACCCACTTGGATGTGCACCAGAATAGCTTTAACATCTCTCTGCAACGCTGACCCCAAGTCAGAATCAAACAGCTGAAATGTCAAGGAGGTTTTTTTTTCAAGAGAGCCTTGTGCACAAAAGTCCCTCCACACACTCCCCAAGCAAACCATCTGTTTGTTTTCTAACATGTTCAGCTAAACTAGCTGCACGTGAGTGTGGAGGTTGCTCTCTATTCCCAGCTTCCCAGTTCTACCCTCTATAATCTGTTACCTATTCATTAAGCATGTGTCTTTAAGTAATCAGGTCCCTGGTTTTACTTTAGGACTGAAAACCCAGTGGATCATACAGGAAGTGGCTAATGTGGCCCTCAGCAGAGCACCTGGAGCAGAGGTAAGGTGTGAACACACGTCTGCTGAGCCACTTTCTATCCAATTCCACACTTTAGGATTTTATCATTTGAAAGTCCTCAAACGCATCACACTCTGGTTCCCATGGCATCACTGGAAGGAGTCCAGTCGCTTCTTCTAAGAGACTTCACTCAACTGTACTCACAATATGGAAATAGATCCTAAAAGGACAGAATACATATCTTTCCTGATCTTAAAATAATTCATTTAGATACTACTCTGACAGAAAACTCTGACAGAAATACAAAAATTTTGTTTTGAGATTTTACATCAAACCTGGCTTTGGAGGCTATAAGAGCCTGTGGATGATATTTATATTTGATAATTATGTTTCAGTGGCGACCAAAGGAATGTTTTTGCTCAGACTGACCAAAGACACGTCACAGTTCTCTGTGGCCAAAGAAAAGGAATAAAACGCACTCTCATAATGAAAACAGACCATTAGCGGACTCAGTCCTGTGGTCACTGTCATTGTGAGGAATTTGCATGTGTTGTTTTGAATATAATTGTGTGTCTGCAGCTGAACGTTGTGTTTTCTGCTTAAAATTCAAAATGTGTGATATTTATATTGACATCTTTGCACTGCATTGAACTGACCATAGACTGGAAAGGATTTGCATTCCATAATATAATGTGTCTCATAATTTTTTACGCGATGACTTTATTGTAATTAGTGTTTATACAGGTATTGAAATGTTGTAATCTACAATGAATGCAATAACACTATCATAAATATTACAAAAGCTTTGTAAACTGTTTTTCCACATGGGAAAGCTATTTTTCTAAGATGCAATAAATCTATTTATGTAAGTAATATTGCTAGCCGTACACAATATACAAATAGGCACAAAAACCGGAGCAATTTTTCTTTTCTACAGCTGCGATGTTTGTGCAGACCATGAAGGATGAAGCATTCATCCAAAACCATAAACCATACTCTGTGCACTCCATATAATCTGCTCACCTCTCCGGAGAGCAATTTATTCAGATTTATTTACGTCCGGCTACACAGCACCGTTGGTGTGTCAGGTGTGTGTCAATATGTGTGTGTGGTCTGTGGGCACGCGGCGGTGTGTGTAAGAGGAAGAGCCTGAGCGGTTCTTTCTACAGACAGCATGCCATGTCGGATAACAGTGGTGGGGGGGGCTCCGTGTCAAGGAAGGGTGGGCCATCAAGCTCCAATACAGCAAACGGGCTAATGTCATTCCATACGGGCAAGGAAACACACCGCCATTATGCAGTCAGCTGCCGGCAAAACGCACAGGTGTGCTTCATGTTCTATTCGACCACCGCCTCCGTCACTCCCAAACGCTCATAAAAGATTTATTCTGTTTTATTTAATTATGAGAGAGAGGCTAGCAGAGGGAGAAAGTGAAAAAACACACACTCGCACATAGCATTGGTGTATGTATGATGATTTGGGCTGCACATGTTCACCCACACAAACACAGTGTGCGCTGGACTGCATGTCCCTCGGCACCATGTGAGTGCACATTAGGAGTGTGCATGTGTGTACATTTATGTAGATGACATCACTGTGCATCGGCACTGAGCCAGACAGGATTTCTCCTCGTTCTGTGCAGTTTGTCTTGCAGAGGGGGGGGGGGGGGGGGGGAGTGAACGCTCTGAGCTGCTTTTGAACAGACAAATGATGACTAATGATGGTACACAAATAAATGGGGCCAAAGAAGCCTGCAAACAATAAATGACAGCACACTGACACTTGAGCTCAGATCCCCAACAGCTTTTTGAGAGCCTTCAGAAAGCCTTTGCACTGTCCAAAGTACAGCACAAATACAGGAATGCCCAAACTTTAAGTCATAACTGGATAATAGATATGGTATTTTTCAAATAATGCTGCTGTATGTTAAAAAAAATGGATCATTCAGTGTTTAGGTTGTGTCACTCCATGGGAACTTCCTTAGACAAAAAAGCAAAACTGAATAAATTGAGCGCATGTATGTTCCAAATTTAAAGGTCTATCCAAGAATCTTCAAGGTGGGTTTTACAAGGTCTAATACCTTTGCGCCTGTAAAGGTTTGTCCAAACATTTGACTTTGTTTCCCAAAACGGATTAACGAAAGTACCAAACTACTTTAACACTCCACCTTAAAGTACCTTTCAATGTTTTTTGTATGGCAAATTATGACTGACCCATTAAAATCTATTCAATTGTTCAGTAAAAATGCAAAGACAATACAGCTAAATGACAATTTCTCATTTTTGTTCCCGATATAATTTACCACACTCAATTAGCCTATCCATCCAAAATAAATCCAACTAAAAGATAAGGGTTAACAGGATTTTCGGACACAGAAACCTGCAGAGGAAGAAATAAAAAAAGCATTGTTGAGCATCCATGTGGAGCTCAGTGCTATCAGGCAGAATGATTGTCCTGAGATAAGAGGGTGGGGGTATGGAAGGGCTGCAGGTGGTGCAGGAGTTACAGTCAAAGTGACTTCCAGACCTCAGGACAGAGTCTGTTCGAGCTGGATGTAGGACTAACTGCCCGTCCTGAGACAATACATCTGACAAATGCATGTTTCTTTATGGATGCGCGTATGTAGTTTGCATCAAATAGGTCCATGCATCAGCTCAGTATGATTGAAAAAACATGTTAGAATATAATGTGTTAATAAGTGTCACAATGTGTGCGTTTGACCATTGTGTGTGTGATCTGGGACCCTTGGGTGTTTGGAGGGCGGGGGCCTGTGTGCGGGGGGGCAGCCCCGTCTTCACTGCCAGTAATCATGGAGCCATCAGCACATGAGACGGTAACGGGGCCTGATGCTCACCCACTCACAATGAGCCCTGCAGGGAGTCAACCAGGCCACACACACCATCACACACACACACACACACACACACACACACACACGCACACACACACCCCAACGCGCTTCAGCGCCCAGTCTTCACTGCCGACCATCTTTAAACATTTTCCATGATACTCTAGTCACCACGGTTATATGCACGCATACCCAATATTCCTCTCATTTATATCCCTATATAAGAGGGGGAATTCCAAGCAGGCACATTAAACACACCCTCACACATACATCAACTAAATTAATATGTTTCCCAAAAAGGAGAAACAGAACTCTGAATGGACCCTCATAGGCCTAATGTCTACTAAACCTTTAAAACAACTGTCATAGACCGAAGCAGCACATAAGCATACAGACATGTGAGTACAGCCAGAATTAAGCAGCCAGCACTTCTCCCTGACCCTCACCGTAACCTTCTGCAGCTTTTATGCAGCATGTGGCCTCTGACAAGCCCACAAAGAAACAGACAAGTAGGTTTCATGAGCCTCGGTGGAATAATAAAACAATTATCTTAGAGGTCATTGGACTATTGAATGAAGAAACCTTTGAGTTTAGGTCTAATGAATAGATGTGCGTGTTTAAAAGAATGAAGATGATTAAGTGTGAGCGATTGATTCAACCCAGTTCAATGCATAGAACTAATTACAGGGAGTTTTTATCCAATCAAAATCACGCCACCAGTTCAATCAGCATTCAACAAAAAAAGCCCAAGAAAAACGCTCGTGGACTCATTAGAATTTTCTGCAGAGTGTGTGAACATTTGATTTTACTTTCTGCAGCTAACAGCAATTTTTCTGTCCGGCGTGCGCTCTGAATCTCTTTGATGGATCAGTGTCAGGATCCAGGATCCAGGATCAGGGACAGAGTGCAGATGCAGGGTTCTCTTTGAACAATAAGTCTGTATTGATCAGCTCTCCCAAGAAGAGAAAAGCTATGAAACAAGGCACTCTTCAGCGAGAGGCTTCAAGGCTATGAAACAAAAACAAAACTAAAAAAAACTCAGAGAGGCGAAGGAGGTCTAAACTAAGATGTTTACTGAAATAAAAACCCTCCTTTAAAGGGAGCAAAACAAGGATATGAACATTTTAAAAGCACAAGGTCACTACACTAATGGAGGAACCATGAGGCTATGAAACAATACAACAGAAAATATCTCCACTAGGAGGAAACCTTGGAGAAGACTAAATCAAAACTATACTGTGACTCACGTGATGTGACAAGGACCAGGAGACACTAAAAGTGATCTGACATGCAAAAACACTCTGGCCCAAGAAGAGGGGGGGGGGGGGGGGGAGACTAAAAGGGGGGGGCGGGGGGAACAGGTGGACGCTATCAGGAGTTAGGGAAGACAGACTGTTGGACCCAGAGGAATGGAAAAAAGTGACCAGGAACAAGAGGAGAGTCACCATTTCAGAATAAAACAGGAAAGACAAGACCAAGACATGACATGACTAGATAAGGAAAGTACATGTTGTGTACAATACAATTCAAAGTGTTTTACAAAGAATTTAAAAGCTCTGGAACTGGAACTGAAATGAAGCTTCGCTTTGTTTGGTTCTGACTCTGGGCCCCATCAGGAGACCAGAACTTCAAAGTTCTCAAAGTCCGACATGGTTCATATGGCTCAAACATGTCAGAAAGGTGTTTTGGCACTCGACCATGAACAAACTTGTAGACAAGCAGAGCTGTTTTAGAGTCTGTTCTCTGAGTGACACGAAGCCAGAGCAGAGACCTGAGACCTGGACTGATGTGGTTGTATTTCCTGGTTTAGACATCATTCCTCTGATTCTGGCTGTTTTTGAGATGGTAAAAGGCTGCTGATGTTATTGATTTAATGTGTCTGTTAAAGCTCATGTCTGAGTCCAGTATTACCCCAAGATTCTTTACATGATTTTTAGAGAGAGAGTCTGAAGGTGACTAATGACACTTTCTCTTAGTTTCTGTGGGCCGCAGACACTGACCTTTTTGTCTGGGCTTAACTGGACAAAGTTGTTCTGCATCCACAAACGGATCTGTTCAACACAACAACACAATACATCTACAGGCCCATGTTCTCCAGCTGTCAGTGACACATAGATCTGAATGTCATATGCATAGTTGTGGTAGGACAGGTTATGGCTGCGTATTAGCTGTCCCAATGGAAGCATGTACAGAGTGAACAAAAGGGGTCCCAGGATTAAACCTTGGGGAACCCCACAGGGCAGACCGATTCGGTCAGAGACACAGTTTAAACAAATTAACACCTGTCCTCGAGGTAGGACTTGAACCACTTTAAAGTCGTATCAGAGATTCCCACCCAGTCCTCTAACCTCTGTAATAAAATCATATGGTCCACTGTGTTAAAGGCAGCGCTCAGGTCCAGCAGAACCAGGACCGACATTTTGCCTTCGTCAATCAGGTAGATGTCATTGGTCACCTTGATTAGAGCTGTCTCAGTGCTGTGGGGGGGGCTTAACAGTAACTGGAAGGCATCAAACACATTGTTTCACAGGACAAAGTCAATCAGCTGTTGATTTACAACTTTTTCCAGGACTTTTCCTGAGAATGACAGGTTTGATATGGTCCGGTTTTCTTTCAGTACTGTGGAATCAAGACTGCCTTTTTCTAAAAGAGGCTTAATGACAGCAGTTTTTAAGGCCTTTGGAAATGGTCTCTTCTGAAGTCAAGTGTTCACTAGATGAGCGAGTTGTGGTAACGAACTGCTCAGCACAGACTTTAAGAATCTAGAGGGTAACTTTTCTAGGCAGCAGGTGGATGGACTCAGGCTGCAGATGATCTCCTCCATAGTTTTTGTTCGTGAAAGGTGTAAACTGAGTCAGCTCTAGATGTCTAACTGGGGGCAGGGTAGTTATTTGTGTTTTGGAAATTATTGTATTTTATATGCCTTAAACTTTTTCATTGAAAAATATTGCAATTCCTGACATTTGGATTTAGAAGTTATTTCAAAGGGAAGTGAGACCAGAGGGTTTGTTAGTCTGCTCACTGTAGCAAACGGGACATAAGAGTTGTTTCAGCAGTTTTTGAGGATTTCAGAAAAATAATGCTCTCCTGTTCTAAGTAAAGTCTAAATGGACACACAAAACAAAAACAAAAACCCCTGGCAAGACAATTAGTTCTTTCAAAGAAATGCAGCATTCCAACGAAAATATTCTGCTTACTGAAAACATTTAACTGCACAACATCTTAAGGGTTCACATACTTTGGCTATTCAAATATATGAGATAATTCGTATATAAATAAACAAGGTTTATACATGTAAAGTTCTCAATTATTTTTATTTGTGGGTCTCTAAATTCATTTTTGGAAGAGCAGGTGATGGTTTAGTGCCCAGATATTCAGAATAATATATATCATTCTAAAATTCTTCTTATTCGTACTATTTTTGTTATCACATGTTGGCTGGACATAACATTTTCCTGCAGAAAAGATCTTCAGCCAAAAAAAACCTAAGGAATATTTCTAAATGTCTAAAATAAAAAAGTGATTTAAAAAGATTAATAAAGTGAATAAACTAAACTGCACAGTATAGCTACATGTTTGACTGTATAGATTAGGATGCACATGGGTGGAAAAACAAATACTGTGGGGGACATCCACAAAAGGAACATGGACACACACCATTTCATTTAACCTTTTCTTGTTTGTTTGTTTTTTTTTTTTGGTGCAGCAGCATGCCTCATGGACTGGCACCTGACAGTAAGAGGGTTCCCGGTTCAAATCCTGGCTGGGGGCCTTTCTGTGTGGAGTTTGAATGTTCTCTCCATGTATGTGTGGGTTTTCTCTATTAGGTTAACAGATCCACAACCCACGACCCCACATGGAGGCGTGTATAGCAAATAGATTGACAGGTTGATGTACTTTATGCCTCATATATGTAAGATTTACTCTTAAATTAATCTGGTTTGCTCAACTCTTTTACAGTTCATTAGAGAAACTGGCTATTAGTGAAAGTGTATTACGTATGCTTTTCAGTGATCAAGACACTTACATATCTATGTCAAATTTCACAGTCAAATGTTTAAAAAACATCTAATGTAACAAATGAATGTTAAGAGTTTTCTTTTTTGTCAATAGAGAGAAAAAGATCCAGTGTAGGTCATAGCTTCACTTTTAGGAATATTGTATCATGCCTGTGTCATTCTGTTGTGGATGCTAAGCATGGAAGGATCAACATTTCCGTGACGAGCGATTCAACTGCTATCATCTGAAGGCAAATGTCAAACGGCACAGGACTGGCAACTACACATGCCAATACAGCAGAAGGGGAATGCCACCAGCCACTTCTGAGTCTCCGCATCAGTCCTTATTCATCAGTTACTTGGATACAAGCTGACGAGTGATGTCAAATCATAAACATGTGGGAGTACAGTGAACATATACTTCACTTCTTTTCAATAGTACCAGCAGCGAGGGCCCATTTTCTTTTAATGTTAATTTATATGGAATGGATTCATTACCAATACACTTTGGAAATTTGCATAGGTTAGCTCATACAACTCAAAAACACACAATTTGGGAATTTTAATAAATGTACAGGACGCCAATCATGTCCATAAGAGACAGTAGTTTTCAATGTTGTTCATTTTTGTGGAGGTTTGAGAAATGACTGGTTTTAAGATGTCAGGTTCCAGCTGAGTGGTTAGCTCTGGGGAATATCTGTGCGGACCCACAGAGACCCACGCTCAGCTTAAGGCAGTCAATCAAAATTGCATCAGCTGTGTCAAATGCTGCACTTTGGTCTGAAAGGATTAAGACTGAGCCATCGTCTGCATCTGCTGTTTAAACAAGGTAATTCATTACTTTCACGAGCCATTTCATGCACGACACGGCCCCATAAAACGTGACTTAAATTGTAAAAAGATAAACTATCAAGAAAATAAAGCAATTAGAAGTTTATTTAAATGTTGCTATAACGGCCCAATATATTTCCAGTGAAATGATGAATAGAGAAAATGGATTGTAATCAACACAAAACGTGTGATTTTCTGTCTTAAAGCAGGATTGTAATCATTTCAAATGGAAATGTCGGTAAAGTAGGGGTATGAAGACTTTTAATTTATTTTAATGAGATAACATTTCCATCTATCTTTGTACAAACCATGAATAATTAAATCATAACTCAACTTTGCCCGACAAAAAGCAGGATTTTCACCCGAGGCTGCGTTGAACATATAATGAACACATCTCACAATAAGAAATATACACTCACACACACATAAATAAAAAACGCCTGTTAACTCACAGGTCAAAGCGTAGATTCTGTCTCTCCTCAAAGAAATAATCCAAGATGAATTTGCGGACGAAGTCGGGGTTGAGGGTGTTGTCTATGACTTCCGTCCGACCGAACTAGAAGACAGATAGAAGTCGTTATACTTTGTGATGGACTGCAACACCCATTTAGCAAAGACTTTTTAATAATCACGAGCTTTGTAGTATCCAGAAATACAGCTTGTATAATGTTTTACGATTCCATTTCACAGCTTTGTGAAAGTGTGATGGTTCTCTGATTATGTATTTTAGTGCACCCCAGGTTTCAACAGATGTGAGAAAAAGAAGAGAACGGTTTTCTTTATACACACCTGTGATATGTAATAATTTTTTTCAGAAATATCTCTGATCACACCCATTACATAATCCTGTCAGTTCTAATCATTAACATTACAATATATAAACATTTGAAATATATCAGTCTCTGTGTGTAATGAATACTTATAATATCCAAGTTCCACTTTTTTAATTGGAATTACTTAAATAAATCAACCTCTTCATGATAATCTAAATTTATCAACAGCGCCTGTATGTACTGAGGATCCAGGGTGAGACGATGCAAGTTATTTCAACTTGAAGAATATGTCAACAAAAAGGCATGTCCTCTGAAACAGATCCATTGTTTTCATTGTGCATTGGGACATTTTTAGAGCAGTAAGATTATTATTTTCATGTTAATGTCAGCTTGTTTTAGCTTATTAAGGATAATATAATCTCTAATATTTACACCACAAATTAATCAATGTAAACTTATATATAATATGTGATATAACAGACACTATGTCGCATCTCCACTGGAAATCGAACAAATGGTTGTTTTGAAAGCAACCTGTCAGAATAGCTGCAACTGGTTGACTTTCTGAAAAACTGAGGTGCCTTTAACAACCTCGGGTGGTGACATACCCAGGATGCAGTGACAGACCGACTGCCATGAGACATAAAAAAGGGCAGACGTGTGCAGTGTCTGCACTCAAATACACAAAGAATACATACAAGCACAAACAAGTCATTATATGATTCGGTGTGGCTTGCTGCCAAGAGCTGCCCCACCATCGCACATCCGTACTCACCTCCCTCCACTCCCGGTTTGCTATTCCTTGAGTATACAGGACACAAACTGTTAAATGGGAGACACAGGAAGAGAGAGACAAACAAGACACAGTTAGATTGATCGAATAGTTTTTTTAAACTGTGAAACAGCAACACTGAGGATTGAGCTAGGAGAGAGTTCTGTCTCCAGACCTTCTCATCGAGAAGAAAACTCCCCAATTAAATGTCAATGGAACTTTAGCTTACAGCACAATGCTATTTTGGAGAGGGTAAGAGGAGGGAGAGGCAGTCTGCAGGAAGAACGAGTGTTTGAAGGAGTCCTGAAGTGTTTTGTGAGGATGGACCAGTAGTGAGAACAGAGTGAAGCAATCATCTGGTACTAAAATGACATTTCATTTGCATTTTAGTTGCTTTTACTACATCCACAGACACACGCAAACGCTTACTTTGAAAATCCAGAGTACAGAAACACTAGAGACTAGAGTCTGACAAGTGTTAAGATGGAAGTAAAAACTGAACCTCTTCAATTAAATTCTCTTTGTATTGTTGGAAACCCCTGATCTTTTTTTTTATCTTCTGTGTGTTGTATTGAGATTTTTAACTATTTGTTTGCAAAGTCCGCTCAAAACATTTTTTTGCTTTGCAATACTAAAAAACAGTAAATGAAGTAGATCAATTTTTTAGATAAGTCCAAAACATAAGTTGGAAAGTGTCTTGAGGGCACTTCATTCAGCATGATGCTCAGAAGTCAGCAACAAAATAAGGCGGGAAATACATTCCCAGCTCAAAATTATTCATACAGCTGCTGACACATTTCCCCTTACAAATAACACAACAAATGAGTTCTTGGTGGATGGTTGTTATGGCACTGAAAAGCTGGAGGATATGATAGTAAACACCCACCAGGAGGACATAAGTGAGCTTGAATTTCAAGTTTGGAAGAAAACAATGGGGTCTCCTATTCCTGATGCATCAATTCTGGAGAAATCTCAAAGTTGAATGTCCGAAAAATCCCTCTCCCACTTTATCCCACACTTATCTAGCATTAACGTCTTCTCATGATTGATCTTACTTATCTGTTCACGTGGTCTCTATCCTTTGAATCCAGGCAAATATACAAAAAATATATGCAAACTATATAGTTTTTAAAAAAACATTTGTTGTTTATTGCCCTGATCTGAGCACCAGCCTTTTGAAACCATCTTAGAACACACCACACAAAGAGAGCAGAGTCCCTTTTTCCATCTAATTCCACCTGAGCCAAAATAATCACTTACTTCAAAAGGCAATGGCAACAAGGCAATCTCTGCCTGTCTTTGTCCTGCCTAGTTCCACGAAAACACTATAAAAGGGAGAAAAAATACACCTCGCATGGACTGAACAGCTTCTGCTTATTGCAAAGAAACATCTAAGATGCTCTCGGTAGAGAGTTTACTCAAGAAATTACGAGAAAAAAAAGAGTTGATCTAGAGTCATGAGATTGTGACTGTTAAGTCAACATCCTCTGAGTGGAACATGCATCTTCATTAACTTGTGCAATAATTAATTGTAAATTTATGCACAAGTTAATGTAGGACCTGCCACCTACTGATGAAATGACATGAGTGACTTAATCATGAGCTCATTAAGTGTTGTGACGGTGAGTAAAAATCAACCTTGGTTTAGAAATCAGACCTGATTAATATATACCCCAACCCCCTCCCCTTCCGGAAGAAATCTAACAAATTTGGAACTATTCATATACGCAGCTTTGCGTAGAAAATGTAAATGAAAATGAGGGGGGATTTTTCTTCCCCCATTCCGGTTGTTTTTGCTGAACTGAAGCTGTGACTGCTATAGAAACCACTGGCAGGCAGGGAAAATATGTGCTGCTATAAAGGCACTTGTCAAGTGGTACAATAGAAAAAGCGACAAGAGAGCAGTCAGTTCTTGATGTTGATGTGTTGGGAAGATGGGCAAGTGTAAGGATCTGAGCGAGACTGACAGTAGCCAAATTACCATGGCTAAAGGACTCGGCTGGAGCCTCTCCAAAACAAGAGTTCTTGCATGGGGCTCAAAAAAGTTGATCCAAGGAAGGACAACCGATGAACCAAATGGCAGACTGATGGGCGCCCGAGGCTGACCGAGGCCCGTGTGGAATGAAGACTGGCCCCATGTTGTCCAATTAAACAGAAAGGTTATGGCACCATAGTGGCAGAACACCCTAACGAAGGGTGAATCGTAAAAAAGGAGGTGTCAGAACACATATCAGTTGCAGTCTGCGGTTGCCTGTGACAACAACTGTCCACCTGAGGAACAATCCAGGTGTGTTCTTGTTAAGTTGAAGAAGGGATGGAAGAAGCGTGTACTAAGGGAGGAGGGTAAGCCAGTCAAATAATTGTAATTCTCCGGGAAAGTTTTGTTATAAAACTGTGGATGCTTGAAATTTAGCTCAAAAGAAAAAATATATATATAAGTCTGACTAAAATCATATTTAACGGAATCTCTCAAAGTAATTGTAACATAACGAGATAAAAGTGTAGCAAAGAGGTGTGTTGGGCATTGCACAAAAGTCCAAGGAGTGAGTAAAACTGGGTCATAACTTATTAAACATGGGAGAAAAAACTGATTCAAACTGTTCATCTTTTCATATAAATATATATTTAGTCAATTTCTCCCTGGAGATCAATAAAGTATATTCAATTCAATAAATATGAGCTTAAGCCGTCTCATGGCAAAGTCAGGACAAAGGACAAATCTTTTCAGTTTTTCATTGAATCTTTGATAGCCACATTTTACTGTGGCTCATCGAAACAGCCAAAAACATGTCTTCAATGAAATCAGAACTGTCAATGATCAACACCCAAAATGCTAATTTACGACAAAGGGAAAAGTGTAATCGTATAAGCACACTCCGTTTTCCAGAATTGCTTCAGTCCAAGGCAGGTGTTTGGGGTTGTTGTTGCTCTCAGCTGTGGTCATTTTGAGTTTAGGAATGAGAAAAAACTCAGATGTGTTCATCTTCTGGAAACTCTTCAAGATCCACAGAATCATACCTTTCTTTGTATGTATTCGGGTACACTCGCCAGTCACTTTATCAGGTGCACCATACTAGTGCCAGGTTGGACCCCCTTTTGCCTTCAGAGCTGCCTTAATCCTTCGTGGCATAGATTCAACAAGGTACTGAAATGATTCCTCCGAGAGTTTGGTCCATATCAACATGATAGCGTCATTGAGATCAGGTGACTGTGGAGTAAAGCAAACTCATCGTCATGCTAAAGGAACCAGTCTGAGATGATTGGCGCTTTATGAGATGGTGCGTTATCCTGGACGTATCCCATCAGAAGTTGGGTACATTGTGTTCATAAAGGGATGGACATGGTCAGCAGCAATACTCAGGTAGACTGTGGCATTGACACAATGCTCAATTGATGCTAAAGTGTGCCGGGGAAATGTCCCCCACACCATCACACCTCCACCAGCTGCCTGAATCGTTGATTGGGGGCAGGGTGGGTCCATGCTTTCATGTTGTAGATGCCTAATTCTGACCCCACCATCCAGATGTTGCAGCAGAAATCAAGACTCATCCGACCAGGCAACGTTTTTCCAATTTTCTATTGTCCAATTTTGTTGAGCCTGTCCGAATTGCATTGCAGTAGCCTCGGTTTCCTCCTCTTAGCTGACTGGAGTGGCACCCGGTTTGGTTTTCTACTGCTGTAGCCAATCCGCTTCGAGGTCTGACGTGGATTGAGTTCAGAGATGCTCTTTTGCATACCTCGGCTTTAACGGGTGGTTATCTGAGTTACCGTTGCCTTTCTATCAGCTCAAACCAGTCTGGTCATTCTCCTCTGAGCTCTGCCATCGGCAAGGCATTCATAGTCACAAAACCATCGCTCACTGGATATATTCTCTGTATATATTACTGGATATATTCTCTGTATATATTATTGGATATATTCTCTGTATATATTACTGGATATATTCTCTACGCTAAAGATTGTTGTGCATGAAAATCCCAGTAGATCAGCAGTTTCTGAAATACCCAGACCAGCCCCGCTGGCACCAATAACCAGGCCACTTAAATCACTTATCTTCCTTGTTCTGATGCTCAGTTTGAACTGCTTCAGATCCATTGGCTTGCTGCCGTGTGATTGGCTGATTAGAACTTTGCGTTAACGAGCAGTCGGACAGGTGCACCTAATAAAGTGGCTGCTGAGTGTATAATGAAGCTCACTGAGCTTCATTTGGGCATCAACAAGCAAAGTAATCACTGTGAACGTTCTAGAATGTCTGGGCTCCAAAGTAGGCACGCAATCATGCACTATCATCGCTCCGCATGTTCTAATTTAAACGGGTTATCAGGTCGAACATCAGAGACCCGCCTCTCCCCGACGCATCTGAAGCCATCACATTTACAACTTGGCTGCCATTTCTTTCCCCATGGCGGTTTAATTTCATTTTCACTTACAGATGTTTTCCGTCTGTCTTTTCCCATGATTGTTCCACCATCACTGAAATTCCCAAAAGCTCCTTGGTAACACATGAACTGTGTCCACTACAGATGGATACTGACAGCTGTGTGGCATTAAAATCTTCCCGTATTCAGTTCACAGCTAGAAATGTTGTCCTTTTCCCAACAGTTCTAGGCTTTCATGCACGATCAACAAAAGTGATCATACTTTTTTTTCTTTGCTCTGGCTTACTATTCAGAATTCTTGCTTTTTGTCAAGACACAACATCACACACTTTAATCAAGCATCCTTGGATGAACTCTCTCTTGGAAAGACACTCGCAGGATTTAGCTTTCACTGCTTCCATAGCAAGGCAAAGTTCAGTTGAATGTGGAGATGCATGTAGCTCAGCTGGTGTCATTGTGTCGTTTTGTGTTGTATTCTTTGTTTACGGCCTCCTCTGTTCAGCACACGGGATAACCGGGTTTACCCATAACGCTGGTGTCACCTGAGAGTTCCCAGCCCTGACAGCACTCTGAATTGTCCGGGCTTGTCTGAGGTCTGAGGTGTGCGGCCGAACAGTTCTCCGACACGCCACGGCTCGGTATCACACTCTTTGGGCTGTTTGTCAGGTCGCCGGTGACACGGACTCCTATAAAAGCCGCTACGTGCGTTTTCTGGAGCTTCTCAGTTGAATTGTTTTAAAACCACCAACAAATTGGCATCAATGAACACTGTTCACATGGGGCTGCCTGCTTTGTTCGGGCTGGAGCAGATGATGGCGTTTTCATCATCAACCTGAGTGGGTCCTGAAAGCTAGTCGAGTGCTCATGAGTCACTAAGGGCAGAAGCATGAGATCATTTCAGAGCTGGATAAAAAAAAATAGATATATGTGCTCCACAGCAATGGAGCTTTCTTCAAAATAAGTTTGAGATTAAAGTGGTGCTATAGAAAAGAGCTGTTCCATTCTGAATATCATAGAAATTTTGTGTTGGCATGGATATGCAACAGTCTCTAAGGGCAGTCTCTCTGCATCTGACTTCTTGAGGGGAAACAAATGAACGAGGAGGAGAACCAGGATGTCTTCAAGTGACGAGATGTGGGTGAGATGATTGTTAAACTGTGTTTAGGTCCATGACTGGGGAGCAGGCTGATACCGTGGAGTTGTCACAGTGAAACTGTGAGTTCAGAGAGGATGTGTATTGTGTTGCTAGAAGCATGGAATAGGAATACTGAGTATTATTCTGAAATGAATGATTTAGAGAGAAAGAAAAAGGCATTGGCTCTGTCCAGACTTCCATCAGTCTTACCCTTTTTCCTCTTTTCATCCCCATCCAGTCCTCTACCTGCTTTTCCTCCATTTTTCATTTCTTTCTCCTCTTTTCCTGTTTCTACACACTTAGATAACTCCCAGCCCTCCTCCATGATGCCTTTTTTTGCTCTATATGGAGCAACTTTTAAATGTCACTCTCAATTTGGGGCTTATTGTTTGGGAACCTGCATGAAGACATCCACCACTGGCAGGCGTGAATGACTCGGCCGGTGGCCCCTCATGCTGAGAGTCACAAAGTGCTTCCAGAGAGTAACCGTGGACTGCATCAAAGATTTCATCGCTGTTACTGCGGATTCTCCCCAGCGTGCTGACCCCTACGCTCCATCAGTGGTCCCCTTTACCCACACGGACAGTGGGCAGTCCTACAACTCATTTTGGAGGTTTATTTTGATCCTTTTACACCAAGCAAATGTGCAAAAAAGTCTCAGAGGTATGAAAAACAAACATTCAATAGTGACATCTTTTAAATCTACCACGAAAAAAGAAAAACAGCTGTAGAAAATATCCATTTTGCTCCATATTTGAGCATTAGAAAAGTCCCAATAGTGGCAAGCAGAAGAAAAAGAAATTACTCAGGACCAGACGGCTGTTTGACTCAATAGCTCAGTTCCCCTCCTGAGCGTGTGTACTTATACAGTGGTTCAGTTACATGTGGTGGCGGAGCGATGGCTGTCACACCAATCGCTGGTGCATGAATAAGAATGGCTGCAGGCCACACGATTCCCCGTATGGAAACAGTTCTTAGTCAAAAAGCCCGCTGTGCACTGTGCTTTTAGCTCCACGAGGGGTTTGGCTGATGTTCCGTCTCCCATCTCCAGAGGTCTGGCTGAGCCCGTCCCACAGCCGATCGGGGCTGTTTTGACAGGAAATGTGGGAATTACACGATATCAGGTGGGTGGTTGTTCGGCTTTATCTCATCAGGTCTTGTATTGCATCAGAGGCTGTGCTCAGTGAGCTGCGACTCAGCTGGCTGAATGATGAAGTCATGCCTTAACGCTAACATGAGGCATCGGATGAGACGTGCCTTTGTGTTATTGTGCGGGACGGAAAAAAAAAAAAAAAAAAGCAATACAGCATAACAGTAGACCCAGATGCATCCCGGCCAATAGTGTTGGTGCACTCGCCGTTTGGTAAAGCAAATGATGGACGCGTAAAATAACAACCCGGCTTACAGCGCTGCCGCATGGGTGGGCACGACACTGAAGGTGCACGCTTTCACAGGCCCCGCTTCTGCTTAGCACCCTTTTCCCGTCTGCTGGAGCAGAAAGCGGCTCCAGACACGGAGCATGCTCAGAAGTGGCTGCCGGACTGCTGGTCAGCTGTATCAGCTCATGTGAATATGCTCCGTGCGCTCGCTGGAGGCCTGGAGCGAGCGTGTGTGTGTGTGTGTGTGTGTGTGTGTGTGTGTGTGTGTGTGTGTGTGTGGCTCTGACCAGGCGCTCTAATGCTGTGTGACTGGGGCCAGTGCTGTCAGCAGAGCAGAGACATGGACGCAGCACAAGTGCCTCCTTGCATAAACGTTGGGTGCTCCTTTTCCCACCGTCTGACATTTAGAGGTCCGGCCCGCGGTTCCGAGAGCTCATCAATTATGGTTTCACACACACACACACAGACGACCATGCCCAAAAAACACCGCTGGGTTAGCTCTGCGGCCAGAGTGCAGAATACTCAGGAACGAAAGGAAGGTGATGTCCAACTTATCTCAACTATCGTTTTAAATCGTCAGTATTTTCTTTAGTAGTCAACCGCGCAAGGATTTCAGTGTTTTTAATAAATTAAATGACAACAAGGAACTATTCTGCTAAGAAACCCTTTCCTTTAGGGTTCCAAAAACTTGATACACTCCAAGGTCCTGCTATTGCTCCCTTTCAATCGGCTCATTTACGATTGGGAACTTGTTTGTTCCTCAGGGTCCAGTTATTAGCCATACAGAGTACCCGAGGAGACAGAAAGGTCCTCCTATTATGACCCTGTTGTTTGTGTATGTAAGTGCCAGAGGGTGAGTGGTATCAGCTCTCAATTCAAAATGATTGTACACAAAGAACTAAAAAGCCCTTGTCTTTTTTTGTTGTAAAAATCTCTATTTTGATCTCTCTCTTTCCCCACATGAAGGCCAAATTGCACTACTGATTGTTTCCAATGAAGCAAACCAATAAATCCACCTTAAATAGAAGATGCAGTTCTTTATGGTACAGAGTGTATTTGTTTTATTCCCAATAAACATTCAGTTGGAAACTTTTCTTCCATTGCATTTGTTTTTTATCTAATTCAAACTTTTGGATTTGCCATAAAGCGACATCGCCCAAATAAAGCAGTCCTTACTCACAGCAGAAACAACTGAGCAAAGAAGCACAAGAATAAAAAAAATGGATATGTTTGTCCCATTTGTTTTTGATATTTGCTATTTCACCAGCCACAGGTCACTGTCTGCTGTCTGTCAGAACATATATGCTGTACAGAGGTTATGGTTCAGGAAACAACATGGACTCTGGGGGGGGGGGGTTGTTTTGTTTTTGGGCAGGTAATAGAGCATAAGTCTGCAGAATCTGACATCATATCAATAGTTTTGATTGACTCAACTTAATTTTCTAAGATAAAGAGTTTGAGTCAGAATGTTTCTTTCTTCTCCATCTTCCTACTTAAGAAACTTTCTGTCACTAACTTACAAAAAAACAATACGGCAGAGGCCTTTTCACTGTCCAACAACGCGCATGAAACTGATCCTGATGTTGCCAATTTGTATCATAGAAGCCATCTCATTTTTTTTTTCTTTTTTTCTTTCTTTGTGGCGATTTTAAGAGTCTCCATAAACAATGATTCATTTTATTTCAGCAAAAACATTGATGCAGAGCTTTCATGTTTACACGTTGTCCACAAAAAATGTTCTCTACGGTAAGAGCTCATCCTAATTTGAGAGCTTAAATCCAACCTTATTGAGAATGTTGCGAGAATCAGGCCTTTAAAAAAATAGCACTGGACTAGCTAACTAAATGAAGCCTTTGCTGTCATCCGAGTGATGTAAATGTGCGCATGTGTGTTTGTGTGTGTGTCTGTGTGTGTGTGTGTGTGTGTGTGTGTGTCATGGACTGACGAGAGACATGCTTACTTGGGTCAGATTTGGAGAACGTGTCTCTATCCAGCAGGTTTCTGAAAAACAAGACAACAAAGAGACACATTGACATGAAAATTAATTACACAGTTCTCCAGCCTCGACAAAGAAAGTGTAACTTTTGTTATTAGATCATTAAAACTCCCCTAATTAGCTTCCTCGCCCGCCCTGACAACTTGCTTACCCATAATCCTCCGCTGACTTCATTAACAAAAGCCGTTTCTTCCCATCACCCGGGCAGCCACATTAAGCAGACTACAATATCAGGCTTAAAGTGGAGCGTATGTATATTTCAGGCTTTCAGAGAAAGCACTAGAGCTGAGGACCTATTTTTCCTCCTCTTTTTTCCCCCCCCTGCACTCCTCCCAGTGCCAGAAGCAACAACGGAGGCTGCCATCAAATTTACATGACACTCCGGTTTAAGCTCTTTGCAAGGGAATGGGTAAGTTCAGTGATGAGTCCCAGAACAGATCGGGGGCCCAGCGCTCCCGAGGTGCTCCACGACTGAACGCCACTAAAGGAATTAAACATGTGCATGATTATGACACGGCCCAGTTTGCCTCAGACCTGACGAAAAGGACAATATGGTGGAGCTCAGGCTCAGGAAAAGGACGATCTGGCAGATTGCATAAGCAGGGGTGAGTTTTGTAGCTTTGACAAATTTAAGAGGCCGGAAAATCCTGAAGAATCACGTGTGAAGTGCAGCCGGATTCAAACTTTTGAAAGTCAGCGGCCGATTTAAAAAAATGAAGCTGTTTCTATACTCCATTTCAATAAATGTCAGTGGGCTACATCGACAAATTGGGCACATGAAAACAACTTCTTTTCCATGCAAGCAAAAAGAAGAGGAAACACTTTACAACAACCATCATTCATAAATGGTAAATAGACCATCCATACTCATAATTTATTAAAGAAGATTTGAAATAGCTGAAGAAAGAGATAGAAAAACAATAACAACAAAAAACAAGCATCATCTATGTCTCCTAACCCTACAAAACAGAAAAAAAGTATTCCAAGCCATAGAAGTGAGAACTAGGCTTTGCCTGTTCTCTCAGTGATGAATAAATCATGTTTATTACAGCTTATCGTGCTCAGTCTCCCTTAAAAAGAGGTTACAATTGTCCAGTGGCCACAAACACACACAGAAGTCCTCACTTGTGAACTTTAGGAGCTAATCATCCAGTAGCCCTTTGTGGAAGTCAAAACTGTTAATTAACTGTACATTACACTATTGTAAAACTTCCACAGAACTTATGCTGGAAAAGCTGAATAATAGGATTGGATTGGCTGAGAGCTGAAGAGCCATTTTAACAAAACAACGTTCATCCTAGTTTGCAGGGCCAATAAAACGAGACTCTCAGGACAAGAAGGTGTAGCAAACGTAGTAATGAGGAACAATAACTCGTTTCTTTTTTTGAAAACCACATTTGCTCTTGGTATCCGTTATCACCAACCGATCACAGCAGACATCCCACAGGATTTTTTCGATCCCAAACCTCCGACTTTGTTCTGAAATGTCCCCTAAAACCACATAAGCTGGACCGTTTCATTGGGGAATGTAAATCAAAGAGCGATGCTACTAATAACAGGTTGAGCGACCGGCACATCTTTGTTACAGCTGAGTGAGGTTTTTTTTTGGATGACAATATCCCAAAATGTTCATATGGGAATAGAATTACATATGAAGGGGATATTCCTGATTTCTACACTGTAGGTGTATTATACAATATTAAAAAAAATCGAGAATATTACAAGAAGCCCTGGAACGTAGAGGGTCAGGCATTTATCTATTCCCTTAAATGACAGCATGGTGAAGTAGTTTCTGTATTTTATGGTAAGTGAGGGAACTGGTGGACTTCAGAGGGAGTGTTACACCTAAGATCCATGAGTTACCTCAAAGACACAAAAACCCTTTTCCCAGCCGAGGCTGTGGGGCAGACGTTTCTCCTTTTTGAGCGGCATTGTGAGAAGTATCGCTTT